TGCTGAACAACATTAAAACCAGACGTCTAGGTTAGTTCTGAGAAAGAACACACCTTTTGAAGTTCTTCATTCCGTTCAATATTAATAACTTCAATACATTACATGCATGGTCTCTATATGCACAAGATAACTGTGCATCCTCAGCCTTTAAAAGGTCAAATAGATCCTCAGGAGCTCAAGAAGTGATGTTTTGCCTAAAACTGCAGCTTCCCCATAGCAGTCCCAGTTCTATAACCTTGAATAAAGCCTGGGGAGAACTCCTAGATCTTGAATAAAGACAGTAGGAAGAAACATTTGCCCTCGGCATGCCGTAATGCAGCTGAATTTGGGTCAATATTACAGCAATGTCCCCAACCAGCAGCAACAAAAATAATTTTTTAGTAACATTCTAGGATGTAAAATAAATAAATTGCTTGCTTCGGAAATGTTTTGAGCCTGTTGGTACAGCTGGCATCACAAGCTCGAACGTAATAGCTGACCCATCATAAAGCACAACATACAACTTCTGCTTACAGTAAACCTCAAATCCCTTAAAATTCGGCCTCATCACAGCCCCACAGAGACAAATACCCAAGTTTTATTTACATGAGTTTTTTTGTGAAACAGAAACAAATATCTTGAAGCAGAATTTTATTTTAAAGCTACAAAAATTTGCGAAAGGACAAGGGCTAAGATTACTCCACCCTGTTGTCACTTTTAAAACTACAATTCATTACTTCCCATTATCAGGAATATCTTCAGCAGAGTTACACTTGTTCAAAAAGCTTTACTTTTCAGAAGCATTTTTATTTTACACCATTGATGTAAACATCAGCTGGACCTCTGCTTACAGCAGTTATTTTCAATACCCTAAGTTCTCAGAAAAACACCAAAACTTTTGGATGGATATTGTTTCTTTTTAATTAAAATTTATTCCAGTGGATAACATTAGCCTGACAGGATATCTTCGTACTAAAGGCCCAAAAAATAAAACAAACAAAAAAAAAAAAGGCAACCCAACAGCACACCCTTTACCTGACTCCTCAAAGCAACACTCAGAAGTGAAGAATTTCTATTTGCCTTTTAACCGCCACAAGGACATGACCCCCTGAAGGTGATAATTAGCATCAACCGATTTTCTTGATGAGGACATCTCCACCAACACCTGGCCTGAGACAAGTGATTTATTGCCCCAAATACAATCAAGTGTCAAGAAAGACCCTAACTCAGGACTAACCTATCTATCCACACAAGTCTAAAACTGAACTAAAATTGTACCTAATTCACTCCTTTAAGATTATTCATATCCTGTTTTGGTTTAACCTACAGCTATGTTAAACTGAAATAAGGTACTCATAATCAGAAATGAAAGAGTACGTTCACATAAAGACTTCTACTAAAATAACTAAAGGTGTTAAATTACTTCTAATTTCAGTTATTTCAGTTCCAGGCTGTGCATCGACAAGGCTTTTCACAGGAGTAGCAATAAAAATGCTCTGAATTACACTATCCTGTCTGAAAGAAACAAGCAGCAGAGAGATAACTGGCTAAACAAACAAATCCCCACAAAAACAAAACCAAAACCTCCAGCCTAGCTTGACTTTTAATAAGTCCACCTCTGTTTATGGAATGGGACCCTGGGATGTTGTCTTTCCTAAAGACCTTTTCACAGAAAAGGGAGGGGAAAAAAAAAAGAAAGGGAAGAAAAAAAAAGCTATGTGTGGATAATGAAAGGCTTTATCTGATATCTCAATTATTCCTGCAACTGAAGCACTGCCAAAAGTTTTTGTTACCTCTTTCTCCTCTCCTCAGGGGAGAGTGACAACTGCATTTTCAATAGCAGAACAACAAATGAGACTCGGTTAAAGAAAACAAGAGAGCAACAATTCTGGTCCCAAGTGTCCAAGTGTATTTCAAAACATTACCAGGAATTATTTGGGGTTTGTTTTCTTATTGAGCACTGCAAGTCTCAGACTTTCCTCCCCACCCTGAGCTTGAGCTTTAGTCCCTAAATCCATCAGTGCATGCTCTGATGACAATTAAATGATTCTCAATTTTATCTAGATAGCTAAGCAGGGACTAAGCACCCAAACAACATATTTGATGAGGACCAGGATCCTGGCCATGGGGAATCAACTCCAGGACAACATGGACTTGGGTTTTATTCTCGGTACTTTAAAAAGGTGTCAGATTCAGCATGTAGTCGTTTACCACAAAACATACAGGCAACTGCTGGTTCCCATGAGAATCCCTCTTTCCAGACACTAAACTTAAAAAAAGTCATAATCCAGAATGGCTATATCATGTGTGCCCTCCAGGATACCGTCTAGCCTGACTTGACCCATACAACATGTTACCAGATAGTGCAATGCCCGCAAGACAAACTGCACCATGCAGCATTCATATTTATGTGTGACGCTATCATCGCAGTTGAGATTGTAGCAGTATTGACTCTCTTACAACAGTAAATGAGTGAAAGAAGCCGTCTACGATTTTTGAGAGGGTGTTGGGATCTTGGCTATCCTAAGGCAGTAATTCACAGTTCACTTCATGCAGCTCATGTGTGTTTCTGGGCCACACAACCCAAGTCTCCTTTTTCCACAGTGTGTGCAGGTGGTTCAGCATATGTGAAGGAAATAACGCAACCAATAGCAACATTTTGACTTCACCTAATAAAAATGAATCGCAGCAACCTTTCCATCTAAATTAAGGTGCTTATTAACCTTCAGGATCTTAAAAATTCAAGTGACACTCATGCACCTTTCATAGTACTACATATGACTGCTGCAATTAATGCGCATGAAGAATATCAAGCAAATCTATGATGACTGAAAAGTTAAAAAATTGCTCAGGCCTGAATTTTTTACTTCTGTTATTAATAGCTCTAATTTATTGCAACTTTGTGACCTCTTCAAAGAAACAAACAGGGATTATACACATAAGCATGCACTAATGTTGATATGTCAGCATCAGTTCTGATATTATTAACAATAGGCACGAGTGTATTATGCAGCAGAAAAGGGGGCTGAATTTTAATAGACATGTTAACAACAGCTGTCAGCATTTATTGCCCTATTGTGACCATGTAAAGAGCCTTATTGGCAGAATACATAAGTGAGGAAATCTGCTACACTGTTGCAGCCTGCCATTCTCCTGAAATATCACTCTGCTTAGTAGAAGTTAAGGTATTTGAATTAGAAAAGTAAATAAACAAAAATACAGAAGAAATATTGAAAGACAGCCATGTCACACGGAAGAGAAACAACCAAGTTTTGCAGCAAGCCAAAATTCTCTTCTGTTCCTTGATTTCTGCCTAAGATACTTCTAAACACTTTTTATTATAATTAATAAAACTGAAGCCCACAGTGAGGAATGCAACAACATAACAAAGAAATAAAAAGCAAACAAAAGAAACAAAACCACCCTCGGAACACAGCAACAAACTACATCCCCTCTCAGCACCATCCAGCGGGAAGTGCTCTGCATCCTCAGGCGCCTTAAGGAGATTTTGCAGAGCCCCACGATCACCCTTTCCGAATCAGAAAAATAGTTGTAACAACCAACACAGAGAAAGCCCGCTCCTTTCTGTCTCACTTTCCCCCTTTTCAAACTCAGCAGTAATCTTATTGCCTTACTGGTAAAAACATCAAGCAGGCTTGTTTCCTGTTTCAATGTTATTCTTGAAGTGGGCTGCAGTAAGGATCTGATTTTCATTGGGCTATTATTATTTGCAGCTGCGTGACCTTTTTAACCCTCTTTTAAAAGTGACATTTCAGCCTTCAACCTCAAGCTGTCCAAATGTTGCAAGGTTTTCAGCCCTCTGATTAACAGTGAAAAAGAACCGATGGGGAGGTGCTATACTACAATGTGTCTAATACAGGTCAGCGCACCCATCCTGCCATTTGCACAAGTGAGTAATTACGTTCTTATAAGCAACCTGTTTGTTGAAATTAATCACCTGGGCACGTGCTTGCGAGACAGGTTTCTTCAGGCTGGTGTGACCAAGGTCACCGGGATTTCCAAATCCAAGCACAAAATACACAGTCGCTAGTGTTAGCAGCAGTATGCACAGACATGAGCAATAAATGAAGCATCACCTATTTTTTAGGGTCATGACCGCAATGTCTACAAAGTGAGAGGAGACGTGGTTATGGTGCACTTGCGAATATTGAAGAACCCCATCAGTGTATGCAGCATTTCAAACTGACAGTCGTGCCTATTCAGCACAGCACAGTTTACAGATAATTACAGCGTTATTACAAATGCTATTAAGACTTGTTGGTTTTGGAAGTGTAGCTCACACAGGGTTAATGCCCATGGTTGTTCCCAATATGTCCTCGCATGAGCAAAGCCAGTTTTAAGTATCGTTGTGCTGAAACGGTGCAGGGTGTTTTTAGTCAGCATGGGCTGTTCAGGGGAAGCGCTTGTTTTCCCAAACTAGCATCATGCTTTCCACATGCACACATACAGGGCTCATTATCACGGCCCTGCCTGCTTCAGCTGCTACAACGAAGGGTCTGTCAGCATTTCCATTAGAAACCCCTTCATTTCAGGATTAAAGCACTTCCAAATGGTGCTGGGTGCTGGAAAGCAATTTGTGTCTGGAGTCCCCAAGAAGGACT